CTTTACTTTGCTTATCAACATAATTTACCTGTTCATAGAAATGTGCTTCTATCACCAAATATTAACATTATATTTTCAAGTCTGTTTTTATTCCACTTTTATGATACATTAAATGATTGTTCACAGTTTTAAAGTGTCTTTTTCACTGTTGTGTTGTATATCTTCTGAGACTGAGTTTGCCTCACGGCTAAGAAAAATTAGATGGCAATAAATAATTTATTTTGATACAGCCTCAAATGAAAATAAAAACTATTCATCACTTCTGCGCACTACCCTCATCTCTTTTCTGTTGAGAAAGGACGAAAGCCAGGGGAAAGTATTAACTCCAAGTCAAAGGAGGTCATGGTCACTCACCTCGATCTTCATCTTTTTATTCACATGTAGTCCAGTCCTCATCTCTTTTCTGTTGAGAAAGGACGAAAGCCAGGGGAAAGTATTAACTCCAAGTCAAAGGAGGTCATGGTCACTCACCTCGATCTTCATCTTTTTATTGTCACATGTAGTCCAGAATTGTGTCCTGTGTACCATAATAGAAGCCCTCTGTGTCCCTCCTTGCACTCAAGTTTCTAATGTTGCTCTGTGTTCTGAACTTGGTTTTCTTGGAAGGCCTTGAGGGTTTGTGTTGAAAAGTCTGTTGTGTGAGAAGTCTAATGGGCTTTCCTGTGATTTGTTTCTTTTCTCTAACTGCTTGCAGTATTTTGTTCTTCTGTTAGATTTCTGGAATCTTAACTATTATGTGCCTAGGTGTAGATTTTTTTAATCCTGGCTAGTTGAAGTCCCATATGCCTCACTTATCCATATGTCAAATCCTTTTCCCCTGCTTGGATGGTTATCTGTTATTACTTCAGTGAACAGATTGTTTTTTTGTTGTTTTTTTTAATGTCAGTTGCACTATCTCTTGTTTTTTCATTGTCTCCAATCCATGTTCCCCTGCTTGGATGGTTATCTGTTATTACTTCAGTGAACAGATTGTTTTTTTGTTGTTTTTTTAATGTCAGTTGCACTATCTCTTGTTTTTTCATTGTCTCCAATCCATCTTATATTGTTCTTCACATCATCTGACAGCTGCTGATTTGGTTTCTCATGGTCCCTTGCTATTCTTAAGAAACCTTTCTTTGCCAGGGCACTAATTGTAGTCCTGTTTTCTATTTCTAATATTCTGTGGTCATATTGGCTTATTCCACTATGTAAACGTTCAATGGAGTTTTTAATCCCAAATGCTATCTGTTTGTCTCTGCTTTATGGATTCCATTTGTTTCCTATGCTGAGATTCCATGAGGTTCCTCAGCTCCTCTATTTTTTTTTTAATCTGTGAATGCTCTAGTGTTACTAATCATGACTTTCACTATGGACACAGTTTCTATTGTTACCTGAGAGATTATTTCTCATTTTATTTTTTCCATATCCTCTTTCATCACTAGTTCAGGGAGTCTAGGTGGTTGAGTATCAGATTGTTTCATCTTGTTACCACTTGAGGTTGTCTTCAGTGATCCGGAATCTGGGTTTGAGTCTCCTTAACGTGCCTTCTCATTTCAACAGACATAGTCTGCTCCACCTTTGTTGAGGTGACCCAGTGGGCTTTAATTCTCACCAATCCTCAGAGAGGCCTTCTCTCTGCTGATCACCACTAGGCCAATTTCTGTGCTCAGAATGATGGCCTCCTGGTTCCCTGAACTGTGCTGTTGTCCAAGCGGGGTTCTGGCTAGAGCCTGTGCATGCTTATCAATGGTATCTAGGTGGACCTCTGGCTAGGGCCTTCATGCCTGCTCTACTGTTTTCCAAGCAGGCCTTTGGCTGGGTCCTGCGTACCCAAGCCACTGGTGTCTGGAGCTCTTATTATTTTTATACACAAATAAGACAAAATTATTACTTCCTTCTCTTCAAAACAATAAATAAAATATCAAAATACAAACCTACTCCTGATCAATATCTCTTATAGATGTAAAAATTCTTGGCAAAATAATAACAATAAATTTAGTAATGCATAAAAGTTATGCACCATCACCAACCAGGAATGATTCCACTTATGCAAGGCTAATGTAACACACAAATACTCATCTGTGCAACCCACAAAAGAACATGCTCAAGAACAGTAACCACAAGATGATGTTAATTAATGCAGAAGTGCTTTACAAAATACTTAACCTGTTCACCTGAAAACTCTCAACAAATTAGGCATAAAAGAATGTCTTTAACTTGATAAAAAGCACCTAGAAAAAAACCCTTATGGCTAATATTATATTTAACTGTGAAAGCTTTCAGGGTTTTCCTCTAAGATTAAGAACAGGGTTAAGAATGAATTTTTACTTTTATTCAATAAAACAGTGTCATTTTGACCATTAGAATAAGCAAACAAAGCAAAAGGATGCACCTTATGGAAACAATTAAAATTGTACCTATCTGCAGGTAATAAAATTATATATATTAAACACTAATGGACTCTAATGACCACATAATAACCCCATCACTAACACTTGGCTATGGCCTTACTCCTATTTTGCTGTTACCATTGTTAATCTATGTTTAATGTCAGTACATATCATTTAACGATATGTGAAAACAAATTTAAACAAAATATATTTTACAGTCACTATAAAGTAAATGAAATGCAAAGCCAAAACAATATAGGAGATAATTTCATTTCCCCTTGAGTTAGAGGAAGTGATCAGAAGGGTGTTATCGTGGTCCTGGGGAACAGGACTGTATCAACACCAGTATTCCTGGTTGTGATATTTCACTATAGTCTTGCAGCAGGTTACCACTGGGGAAATCTCAGTGTATCAGTGTTCCAGGGCTGCCATAGCAAAACTCCACAGATGGTGGTGGTGTACCCAAGAGAGTTTGGTTTTCTCATATTTTGAAGGCCACAGGTCAAATATCTTAATGTCAGCAGCTCAGGTGTGACCCTGAAAGCCCTCTCCTCGGTTACTAACGTCAACCATTATTTTTATCCTCATTGTACTGTGAAAATAAATGAAACACTGAGCATTGCAGTTACTCACAAACATATCAAGGAAGCAACAGGACTAGTGCTAGATGGGATGCATTCTATACAACTGACCTTTCAATAAGTATCTAATACATATCTAATAGATATACTAGTTGTTTAAAAGATACAACATGAGTGACATCTAAGTTATTTTTATTTTTTCAATTTGTTTTTAAGTGTAGTTATTTTTATATATCAATTTGCCCTTGCTATGTATGCCCAGATATTTGGTCAACCACTATTCTCAGGGTGTCTTTGAGCATGTTTTTATGTAAGATTAGCATGCAAATGAGTAGATTGAGTGCAATAGATTGCTACTATTCCAGTCTGTATATCCCTTATGCACTGGGTTGAAGACCAGAGAATGAATCAAGGTTGGTCCTTCCCTGAGGGAGACAGAATTCTTCCTTCCTGTCTACTGGCCCTTAGATCAATGCTACACCATCTCTCTCCTGGGCCTTCAGGACTGCAATTCACACAGCAGACCTCAGAAGCCCCCAGCTGTCATAGGCATATAGGTGAATTTCCTCTAATAAATATTTTTATGTATATCAGATAGATATATGCAGAAATTTGAAAACACATGTATCATTTAAAAATATATGATATCCATCTCCATTGTTTCCATTTCAAAAACTCTCACTAAAAGAGTGGCCATACTACACTTTTCAAATATGTAGGATCCAACCCTTAGGGTCTGTTCATGAAGCATATCTGGGTGAGAGATAAAGTGTCTGTAGGAAGGATATTGTCTCAGTTTCTTAGAAGGATTAATGCCCAGGGGTAGATGTGTGCTGTGATCACTGGAACCCTTGGCCTTTGACATCACCTGGGAAGCAATGGCAGCGCCCCCACTGTATCACCAGCAGAAAACATCCTTGTCACTTCCTGGCTAAAATGATCATGATGAGAAACAGGTGACTCAAAGGTAAATTGTTCTAGGTCTGAGCCCAGTTTAAATGAAACTCACTATGGGGGAGATATTATGAAGATGTTCATGCTACATAACCAATTCGGTACCTAGAAAGTAGCATGTATTTGGAAAACCGTGACCACACACACACACACACACACACAGTGGAATACATGAACAAACAAATCTCTTTGTGGATGAGAGGTAAGTTCTTTTTTGCATCAGATTATTTTATTGATAGTGGATTATGGAACCATAAGTGACTTTATTCACACTACAAGCCTACGAGTCTGTCTTCTTTGGTGTACATTTGATTACCAATTCGGTACCTAGAAAGTAGCATGTATTTGGAAAACCGTGACCACACACACACACACACAGTGGAATAAATGAACAAACAAATCTCTTTGAGGATGAGAGGTAAGTTCTTTTTTGCATCAGATCATTTTATTGATAGTGGATTATGGAACCATAAGTGACTTTATTCACACTACAAGTCTACGAGTCTGTCTTCTTTGGTGTACATTTGACGTGCATTGACTGTGAAAACAGGATAATAATCATAGATTATTTCACTTCCAAGTGTTGCTAACTGGCTTAGTAATCTTACTCTCTCTTAATAAAAGCATGCTAAATTAAGTTTTTCATTAATGGTTAATCAGTATTATCCAAAGTCCTACAAGATAAAAGACAGAGGCAGGGACTGAGACCATGCTAGCACGGCACTGCAAACTCAAGAACCATAAAAGGCATATGTGTAACATCTGAACAATACAATTAATCTTTAGAGGGGGCTCCCCACTCCTTTCTCAGTTGAGTCCTGCAATTACTATAAGGCACACTTTGCATCATGCCTACAGCATTCTTCTACAAGGAGTCAAGGACTTGTATTTCAGCACTGTTATGACTCCTTTCACTATTAAAGCACTGAAAAAAAAAGGCTAGCAAAGTTATTTCACTGGAGTGAGAGCTGATCTCTAATACATGCTTAATAAACCAAATCAATAATCTCCTTTAGGAGTCTCTAAGTAGTTGACTAAGTGATTCTCCTTTTCTCTTAGCAATCAAACATGTCATCTTTCAGGGATGCCTCACAATAGGATGAGTAAATCTGTTGCTACTATTGTTAATATAACATCAGTAGATCATTCGTACTTCCTGTGTGCTGAGCTGATCAAACACGAAGCCTGTGACTTATTCTGGTAGAAACACAAGATGGGCATGGGACAAGGAAGTGGTTATTTTCTTACAGATTGTCATTGTCCAGGGCTGAAGCAATGCAGGAGTATTCCAGGGTAGGAGTTATTGCGACCATCGCTGTGAAAGTGACTACTGTCTTCAGTTCTCATTCTTCCAAAAAATGATAATTCCTATCAAGATAGAAATAATATCAGATCAATATAATGTTATTCATCAAGTACTTCTTTGGAGAAATTAACAGCTGAAGTCCTCTTTCTAATCCTCCTGATGAGCATTTTCCTCCAACCCTTCCACAGAGAACAGACCTCTGACATTCTCGGGCGTTTTGCGCATGCTAACTGTATGTATGAAGTGTAATTAAAACCTGTGGCGAATGTTCACATTTTTAAAAATTATAGCAGTGAAACACACGTTGTCATCAGTCCCCCTCAGATCCTCCCCTTCACTTCACCCACCCATATCCGCATCATCCTGGCCACTTCCAGAAGTAGTTCTCAAAGTCCTCTTTCGTGAGTAGCCCTCGCTGCCCTGCTGTGACAGACTCAATGTCCCGAATGTATCCAAGATGGTTACTTTCGTTGTCATTTTCACTTCACAGAAGAGCCAGAAGTCACATGGTACAGGATCTGATTTAAAAAAGAAGGTGGAGCTGACACATCTTCAGATTTTTATTTGACAGAAATTATCCTAGACATTTGATTGATGAAGTGTAATGTTAAAATACAGTGAATGCTGAAGAAAAACATCATTACCATAAAAGACACGCGGTCAGTGATGCCCCTAGAAATAATTAAAATATTCTCCCTGGCTTTGAATACACTTATTCCATTTTTCTTAGGAATGTCTTTCGATATCCTTTTAAAAATTTAAAGAGTCACTACATTTTTGATCACACCTTGTACATTTTGTAATTTTACTGCCTAGGCAAGTTTCACAATCAATGGTGTATTAGCTGATATTATTTTAAAACTTAGAGCAATGATAACTTTCTCTACATCTTCTTTTGCATTTTCCCTTATCTAATTTTAATATGTTTTCATAGGTGCTTGCATGTTAATGCTTGTAAAATATTAAGTCCATCATGTAAATCCCTAGATAGAGTTATTTAACTTTCTCCCTTTTTCACAAGGCGAAGTTAAATTTCTCAAGTACAAAAAAAAAAGGCCAATGGTTCCTTCTTCCTTATCATTCTTAGTTTATCTTTGCCCCTCTCCCCTTCCAGCCCTGAGCTGCAAACCCTCTGGAATTGCTTGTGGATTTATAGACCGATGGAGCCTCTGACACTGCTTACAGCTCCTCCCTCCTGTGTCACTCTTCCCCGCCCAGCTTTCTTCCCCTCCGACTTTTTCAGTAGCTTCATCACCTTCCCGGACGCCCCACTGACTCCCAAAACCCTTAGTAAGTCAGTGCCCCGGGAATCCTCCTCTGAGTTGTGCCATCTCTCACACCTTTACCCAACTCACTGACTCACTGGGCTGCATTCATTCAATTTTGTAACCTGATCGTGAGATTTAAAAGGAAGAAAAGCATTGCCATAGATAATTATATGTACATCTTCTGCCCTGATACATACAGGATGTTAAAAACTATTTTGTAAGCGGATAAATGGTCTGCTTGACCTAAAGTATATGGTAAAGGCATAGAATAAAGAGAGAAATTGAAGTGGAATTGCTTTAAAAGGGCACAATGTTTAACACAAGCACAGGATCATGCTGATAGTATCAGCAGTCAAACTAATAATAACACTGTGTAAACATTTTTATCTTATAGCATCATGTGAGAATTATCTCATGTGTTTTTGTCCTCTGCAACCCACACTATCTATAGACCTACAGCACTGTGCAGTGGTATTTTTCAGCTATACTGCTACACCATGCATGAATTTTCTGACTGCAAATAATCCTGGGTGAAGTTAGCACTATTCCTCTGTACCTTAAGCTAAAACAGTACTAGATATCATGTAAGAGTAGATAAAAACTTATGAAATTATAACCAGTTATAAAGTCTCACTTCTGATTGGTTATATATCCTGTTGCATTACTGTTGTATTCTCATGAATTACCCCCCCACAAAAAAAAGCAAAAAAAAAAAGAGCAAAGAAAACTTTTGACATCATAAACGGCACACATACCATTTGATATAGAATTTTCAGAGCACTGTTGAAAACCCGTATGTTCTTTGTTTAATTACAGTAGCCATAGATTAGAGCATTTTCAGTTTGCACTGTTTCTCTGCTAACCAGCTTCCCTCTCCTTGCAGATATATTTCATTTTTGCAACACTCACTGTTCCCTCCACATGAGCTGACCCTTCATGTACTTAATGACCATGGCTTTGAAATGCATGTATGCTGTTCAGTGAGACTGTCCTGCACACATTGTGTCTTCCTGGAAAAGACTCCTTTATCTCTCCTTGGCCTTGCTCTTCAAGTGTTTACTAGGATCTATTCAATACAACAAATAAAATATGTTTGAAAGCCGTAAGTACCATTTGAGAAGTGCTTGTCCCCCAGCTTCAGACCAGAGCTGTGAGTGTCCACTGTGTGGTACTGGGGATAAGACTCAAGCTTCCCTTCCTGCCGTGCCAGCCATGGTCCCCTCTTTGGTCTAGCCACAAACAAAATGAGGGGGCTGCAAGACTGTGTGAGTGAAAGACAGGGATTTGCTCCTCTCTGTCTGCCTCCCACTTCCATGAGGATCACACTCAGTTTGCCCCTTCATTGCAGAAGCTAATATTGATTCCAGATAGAGTGGTTCAACTCAGTTTCCAGCTTTTCCAATATTCTTGGAACTGTCCTTATTCAACTTCTCAGAATATCTCTCCACTGAGCTCCCAGCTCAATGGTACCTATCAGAGACACCATTCAACCTTTCTCACTAGTAGGAATCTGAATTTCCACACTGTACTACCCATACTACACAGTCCTAAATTTAAATAACCTCTGCATTTCCACATTGTTTAAATAGCCTGCTTATTTCCTGTCTAGATCATTCTTAATGATCATACAAAGGGTCTCAAGAAACAGACTCACAAACCTTAAAATCAGGGGTTGGTTTAATATACAATAAACTATATCTGTAAAGAGTCAGAGAGTGAATATTTTTAGCTGTTTAGGTCACTGTCACAGCTACTAAATTCTACTATCATACAAAAAAGAAGAAATAGACAACTTGTTAGCAAGTAAGAGTGGTATTATTTTACCTAGAGACTGCAGTCTGTCGTCTCTACTCAAAGGAAAGAGAAGAGGTCTCCATGCCTGGGGCTTCAGCTGGTCTTTGGGCCCTCTGCCTATGGAGAAGCGAGGAACCAATTCTCACTCCAAGTTCCTCCTCTATGAAAGCTGGTTTCTGAGAGGAAACATCTCAAAGCTGTTTTCAATGTCTGTAATTCTATGAATATATGAAAAGTTAATTTGACTTCTAGAATGACATCCTGAAAAGTTCAGCTGACTCACTCCCCAGCAAAATTGGTGAGAATTATAAAAAGTAACACTTTAAAGTCTCTGAAAATGGTCCAAAAATAACATCCTGTAAAATAAACAGCTATTTGAGAATATCTACTAAAATTCAGTAAGAACAGAAGGGCCTGTGACACTTGAACCAAAATAACAAGGGTATATTTTGGGAAACTTACAAATATATAAAATTAGGAAACATATTCCTTAACAACCAATAACTTAAAGAAGAAATTAAAATGTAAACAGTATTATGCTTTGATAATTCCCCTGCAATTTTAAGCGTTGAATATAGGGTCTCAGCCTATTAAGCAAGCAAGTCACCATGTAGTTATAGACCTCATCCCAGAATGTACTTTGAAATAAATGAAAATGAAGATGTGACTTCCTGAAAAGAATGTACATCTTCCTGAAAAGAATGTACAGATAAATCAATTTCTGGAAGGAAATCTATAATTTTATATCTGTATCTTAAAGAATGACAAAGGCCTAATGTCGATTACCTAATATTCTACATTAAGACACTGGCAAAAAGACCAAATAAAACCTAAAGGAAAGAGATAGAAGGGAATGATAAATGTTAGAGCAACAATTAAGGACATAGATAAAATAAATATAAGAAAATCAATGAAATAATATCTAGTTCTTTTTCAAAGAATAAAACTGAAACATCCTGACATACCATAAAAAGAGAACTGCATCATGTAAGATAAAAGAAAGTGAGATGTTAACAATGATCTTACAGAAATCAAAAGAAACACAAATGTTCTGAATAACTATATCCAAATAATTTTGATAATGCAAATGAGATGGACAAATTTAGAAATATATAAACTACTGAAAGTGACTGAAGTAAAAGTAGAAAATATACAGAGACTGATGAAAAATAAAGACATTTGTAAGTGATAACAATAAGAATAAAAGTACCACAGGTGTTCAGACAGTCCCAGATGACTTCACTGCCCAGTTCTTCCAAACATGTAAAGAATTAATGCTAATTCCTTGTCTCATTATGTATTCCAAAAATTAGAAAATGAGAAATCATTTCACAAGTTACATTTGTGAGCCAATACCACCTTGAAAACAACCACACACAAATAAATTGCAAGAAAGAACAGAACAGATTCCTATAGCTTATATGTTGTGTGCAAAATTCTCAGCAAAATATTAGCAAGCCTTAAAAACATCTAGGAAATCTCAACATTACAACAGAAACACTTAATCTGCTGGAAGCAAAATAGGCAAAATTCTCAAAGCCATATTTGTAGGCAAAGATTTTCTGAATAAAACTCCAGTTGCACAAAAAATACGAAGCATCAAAATATATGATATTTCATTAAGTTAAAAAAAAATTGTACACATCAATGGAAAATACCAACAAAATGAAGAGACAACCTACAGAATGGGAAAAACTTTGCCAGCTACTCTTCAGACAAAGGATTAATATCTAGAATATATATTTTTAAAAAATGAAAAAAAATCAGACCCTCTAAATTTCAAAGACCCAATTAAAAAGAAAGGACATTTGAAATACATAGACACGTCATTGAAGAAATACAGTTGGCCAATAAATACCTGAAATAATGTTTTCTATTGCTGGCCATTCAAAAAGTACAAATTAAAACAACATTAAGATTCCATTTCACCCCAGAAAGAGTGGCTACCATTAAGAAATCAACATATATCAAATGCTGGTGAGACTGTGGAGAGAAAGGAACACTTCCTCATTGTTTCTGTGAATTTAAACTCATACAACCACTATGGAAGTCAGAGTGGAGATTCCTCAAAAAACTAAAAAATAGAAATTTCATTTGATACTACTCCTTTTTTGAGTATCTTCCCAAAGTAGTTAAAAATGTCATACCACAGTGTTGTATGTGGACCTATATTTATAGCAGTACAATTTATAATAGCTATCTTGGAATCAGCCTATATATATGCCCATCAACGGATAAATAAATATATGGAAGAGAAAATGTGATACTTATGTACAAAGGAGTACTGCTCACCCATAAAGATAAAGCTGAGGCCTTTGTAGAAAAATGGATGCACCCCGAAATAATGCCACGAAGCAAATCAGATGTATAAGTTTATGCATCATACAGTTTCCCTTATATGAAAAGTTTAACAGAAAAGAGGGGGGAGAAAAGAGAAATAAAAAAATGCATTCTAACTAAATTAGATTCTAAGTATGTTTCTGCGGTAGGACTCTGGTTTCACTCTCATTTGATGTAAGGATGCACTTTGGAGGATTCACGTTTCTTCTGATTTTGTTGTTATTAGCATGGTCTATTCAGAAAGGAAAAGAAAGTTCCCACAAGAGGAAAATCTATGAAGACACAGAGTATCTCAGAGGTTACCTAGGATTAGGGGGAGGGTTGGGAAAAGAAGACCGCTAGTAGGTAGGGTGATTTGATTTGGGTTCACAAAAATGACCTACATTTGAGTGTGGTTGTAGAATTTTGCTAATGTGCTGGCATCTATTGAATCTAACATTTTAAGTTTGTAAACTGTGTGGTATGAAGATTTTGGTTTAATAGAGTTATTTAAAAATATGCATTGTGACCAAGTGAAAAGTATCCTGGAAAGGAAGATTGCTTTGACAAATGGAAATTAATGAATGTAAAATTGAACACAAGACAAAAAATCCATATTACCATCTCAATAGGCTCAGGGAAAAAATGACAAAATCCAATAGACTTCCATGACCAAAGCTCTCAGCAAACCAAAAAGAAGTTGAAAGTTCTTCAACACTATGAAGAACATGTAAATAGGGTGGTGGGATAACATCATAGTTAATGCTAAAAAGAGAGCATTTACCAAAGATAATGGCTTTTATCATTTTTATTTACCATTAAACCAATGATTCTAGTCAAGAAAATAAAGCAACAAAAACAAGGTAGAGCAGATTGAAAATAAAATGTCAAAACTGTCTTTATGCACAGATGACTGATAGTTTTATGCATATAACCCTAAAGAATAGCCTAAAACTTGTTAGAAATATTAAATGATATCAGCAAGGTTTTAACATACAAGATTAAAATAGAGATAACAGTTATGTTTATATAAATTTATTCTAAAAGTACAACTAGCAAAGTGAAAGGGAAATTCATAAAATAATTCCATTTAATAATAGTACTACAATGGTTTCAACAGATTTACAAAGTAAAAAAAAAAACTCTGAAAATGAAAACGTTATGTAGTTAAAGCTATTAAACACTATCTAAATATATTTTTAAAAAATCTCATGATAGTGGTGTAGAATTGACTGTTAAAATAATACTCCCCTAATCCACAGATTCAATGTCTGTAGAATCTTCATTGCCTTCTTTGTAGAAATTGACAAGTTGATTCCAAAATTCATAGCCACATTCAAGGCAGCTAGCATAGCCACAATAGCAAGATCAATTTTTAAATTATGTCTATGGCTTATGCTTTCCCATTTCCTAGCATATTCCAAAGATATAGTCATAAAAACAATGTGATGGCAGCCTAAAGATAGACATTTGAAGCAATGGAATAGTTTTAAGGTCCGGGATATAAAATGTTGCAGCTTATTTTTTAAAAGACTTCCAAGACCATTTACTTGGGAAATTGGGTATTTTCAACCAATCATGTTGAGATAACTGAATAGACACATACAAATTGGACTTTTCATAACACCTCAGAGATAAATCCAAATGATTCAAACTCCAACGTGTAAGAATTAAATCTGTAAAGCCCTTATGAGAAAATAGGTTGCTATCATGATGTCTTGGGTTCTTAGACATCACAAGAAAAACAAGAGCAACAATAGAAAAAAATAAAGAAATTGAGTGTCACTAAAAATAATTTTTTATGCTTCAAAGGACATTACCAATAAATTGAGAAAAATGAAATAAAAAATAATCCACAACACAGAAGGAAAATATAAAGTCATATCTGTGATAAGGAACTTGTAACCAGAATAATGAATTTATAAAACTCAGTAATGAAGAGCCAATTCATTTTTTAAATATGCAAAAAGTCTTCATAAATGTAACTTTTAGAAGATACAGAAATGGGCAAGAAGCACATGAAAATATGTTCAACATTATGAATCATGGGACAATTGCAGATCTAAATTAGGATAATTATTCTCTCTTAAATTAAAATGCCAGATAATAGCACAAAGAAAAATACGGCAAGTGCAGACAATGGACTATTACGTGGCTATAAAATGAAGTGTGATGAATATTACATATGAAAAAAAATAGAACCTAACATGTAAGTAAAATAAGCCAGAGACAAGAACCCACATATTATATAAAATATCCAGAAGAGGCAACTTCACACATAAAAAATAGATTGGTATTTACTTAGGACGAGTGTAGGGTGGGTTGAGTGGGTGGTAGCTAAAAGGTACATTTTGAAGTATAAGTGTGTTCTGAAATTGCCTGTGATGGTGGTTACACATCTCTGTAAATATCCTGAAAATTATTGAATCATAAATTTTAAATGGGTGAATTAGCGTATGTTCTCTCAACCAAGCTGTTTTTAAAAATGACTCTGATAGAAAAATCTAGGCAGGACCCTAAGCCCTTGAGCAATCTTAAATCATTGCACTTTCACTTAGTTGATGCTGTTAGTTTCAGAGTCAGTAGGACCTCAGCAGTTCAGGGACAAGAAGGTGGGAAGAGGTAGGATGTTCATTTTTATCCATTTGTGAAGTATTATCTTCATAGAGACTGATAGGGACAGAAGTCATGGATGGAGGTACTATTATTTATCTATGACACTTAAAATAACTCGTAGCAACCATGCTGGCTGGGGGTGGGAGCTGGCTGCGGTATCTACTATCCCTTGATTCAGTAACCAGCACCCTCACACTCACTGAACTTCTCTGTGAGTTTCTCCTGGTCAGGTTTGAATTGAAGAAAA